GCCAGGTGGGGGTGGCGTGCTGAGCTGCACTGGGCTGGGCCTGGCGAGCGTTGGCTAGCACTGCTGGTTTTATTGTATATACTGTAATGTGCTGTACAGTTTACTACATACTGCTACTAGGTATTGGTAGTTGACTACTACAGTACTTTGTCGACTAGTCTAGCACTAGTCTAAGACTAGTCCGATTAGTCTATGAGTCTCAACCTCGGAACGACTCAACGACTCGTCGACTCGTAATCCTTGAGTAGGAGTAGTCTAACTAGCTAGGATTGTCGAAAAAATACGAGTTCAAGATTCTTGGAGAATCTGGGGGGAGGTCTGATTCTCAAGATTCTGAGAGAATCGGCCAAAGAACTGGCCTCCGTAGAGAACTGTGGCTGACGTCCTTAAAGGGCGACATGGTCACTGCAATGTACCCCCTCCATCCCAAAATAAGTGTCTCAACTTTAGCTATGCATTTGCTATTGGTCGTCAGTAATTTATTTGCAGTCTAAATATATTTGGGCACACATAGGGTCAACATCTTAAATAATTTGGATCAATCACACAGGTGCAAGGATTTGTACAAGATAATAGGACTGGAAAGAAAGTCGCTATGTTAATTGGAAAATGGGATGAAGCTATGTATTATGTGCTTGGGGATCCAAGCGCTAAACCCAAGTGGTACGACCCAATGTCGGAAGCAGTTCTTTTGTGGGAGAGAGACAAGTCTTTGAATCAAACCCGATATAACCTTTCTCCATTTGCAATTTCTTTAAATGAATTGCCACCTCACATGTTGACGATGTTGCCTCCTACTGATTCTCGCCTGAGGCCTGATCAGAGACATCTGGAAAATGGTGAATACGAAAAGGCAAATTCGGAGAAACTCAGACTTGAACAACTTCAGCGGCAGGTATTCCAGTATTATATGTTTGATTTAATCTTTTATCAATGTGTTTTCTTGTTTCTTTTTATCATAGCATCATTTATAGGAGTTGAGATCGTCACATTGGCCGACAAAGTATCGTGGCTAATATTATAAGTCAGAAACCATGGGTTTGGAATCTCATCTGTCGTGTGTAATTTGCACTCATCAGTCTCATGAATGAAGCATCTTCTAATTGTTCCGTGGATCTGATGCTGGCACAATGTTTGTAAAGCTCAATATATGAATTAGTGAAATATATGATTGTAATTTCCTAAGCGTTCTTCCTTACACATTGGAAAAGAAACTTCCCAGGAGTTCTTTCAATTGGTTGTAGCAACTAGCAATTGAGACCCAGTTTATTAAATCTTATTCTAGTTTGATTTGCAAAGATGACAAGATTCTGACAGGTTGAGAATTTTAAGCACTCATATTCATAATGAGGAAGAAATCATAACTTTGGTGCTTATGCTATTTGGCAGCATATCACTTGTGTTTATCACCAGGCTCATTTTTTGGCTGGGCTTCACTCCTGCTGGTGCCACCTGTAATGGCTTATATTTACAGGCTCGAAGGTTACAAGAGAAAGGCTGGCAACCGAGGTGGTTCAGGAAGGACGAGGACGACAGCTACTGCTATCTTGGGGGATACTGGGAAGCGAGGGAAAAAGGAAACTGGGACGGGATCCCCCATATATTCGGCCAGAGCAGTGCATCGACCGGGTAGTCGCAGCTATAACCCTGCGCCTCTTTCTTTTATGGTAGTGGTGTCCACATTTCCTTTACACGGAACATAACTCGCACAAATGAAAATGTGAATGTATGCCAATTTACTGGAGGTTTCACGTAGCCAGAATGTACTGATAAATACTTATGAGATTGTGTTAGTAGGAATGCAGTTAAGTACGCAGGTTTAATGCATGCAAAATTCAATTATGGGCTCGGCTGAAATATACTTATTTTGGAACAATTTGATCCCCTTTTTTACTCTGGATGTTTGTCTAGCAGTTTTGTGAATTCTGCAATCATACTTTTTTTTTTGCGGGAAACTGCAATCATCTCTACTACTATTAAAAGAGTAAACTTAAGTTCCCCTAAAACCACCCCACAAAGTGTACACAGGCTAACCAGGATCCTTCGATCTGATCCAAGTAACAAAATCTGAGAGTCAATATTACTTTGTGGTTTGCTTCCCCCATCGAACGACGCACGGTAAATGTTCTGCCACGGTCTGCCAATTGAAGCGCAATGGGTCCGTGATATCCCTCATCCCTTCCCATGATCCCTCCTCCTCCAGGCCGCCCCCTCGCCAGCGCCCTCCTCTTCTAGCCTCTGCCCACACCTCCCCACGCACGCCGCTGTCGGTGCTCCATGTCTCTGCCACATGAGCTGCCTCATCTGACAAGGAGATTGGACGCCCCCGCCACCGGCGCGCCATGTCTCCGCCGCAGGAGTCGCCTCATCTAACAAGGAGATTGAACGCCCCCGCCGCGGGCGCTCCATGTCTGCCGCATGAGCCGCCTCATCTGATAAGGAGATTGGACGCCCCACCGCCACTTTAGAAATCGATGAATTGCCGCCGCTGTTACTCCGCATGCGAGGATCGTCAGTACAATCTTCAGCTACCACATATAGGGGGCGCAGGAATCAGCACAAGATGATGTGATGCGGAGCATCCTACGGACATCATCATGTCAAGAGTCTGTTTGGCAAGTGACACGTGCGACATCTACTTCACATACATAAAGGTGAATCATCTCCTTTACACGTGCTCACTTGACCCCTTCGAGGATGGTATACTACTTGACATTTCTCTCGTGTGCATGCGTAGGTATTGCCAGAGCTTCACGGATGATGATGAGGAGTGCAAACGCCAAGAAACACCTACACCATCCGCGAGGGAAGCATGGAAGCGAAGACGGAGCTGCAGAGTCTACAGTGGCCGAACGACCGGAAGCCACCGGACGTCCAACACTCTACAGCTCCCGGGCGACCGAGCGCCCTCGGACGTCCGACGCGTCCACACCCAACCGAACAGAAGGACGGACGTTGCCAACTCTACAGCGCCCGGACGACCGCCAACCTCCGGACGTCCGACAAGTCCGAGTCACCGGACGACCGACGTCTGACACGTCTCCAACGCATCAATATTTTCTGAAGTATTAATGCTGTTATATTATCATTCTTGATGTTTTACAATCATTTTATACCAACTTTATATCTTTTTTGGGACTACCTATTGACACAGTGCCCAATGCCAATTGTTGTTTTTTTGCTTGTTTTTTACATCGCAGAAAATCAATCCCAAACGCAGCGAAACTTTTTGGAGAATTTTCATGGGCCAGAAGACACAACTTGGGCCAAAGAAGACCAGAGGGGGTGCCCAGGTGGGTTGTGCCCACCTGCGCCTCTTCGCCCTATAAATTCTCAAATATTCCAAAAAACCCTAGGAGAGTCGATAGATCAGAAGTTCCGCTGTCGCAAGCCTCGGTAGCCACGAAAAAACAATCTAGACCTCGTTCCGGCACCCTGCCGGAGGGGGAAATCATCACCGGTGGCCATCTTCGTCATCCCGGCGGCCACCATGATGAGGAGGGAGTAGTCCACCCTCGTGGCTGAGGCTTTGTACCAGTAGCTATGTGTTTCATCTCTCTCTCTCTCTCTCTCTCTCTCTCTCTCTCTCTCTCTTGAGATGTCACGATCTTGATGTATCATGGGCTTTGTTAATATAGTTGGATCATATGGTGTTTTCCCCTCTCTATCTTGTTGTGAATTGAGTTTTCCCTTTGAGATTTCGTTCTTATCTGTCGTGGTAATCCTCTCGTTAGATGCCAAGGAGTGGCTTCATGGATGGGCCCAGGAGGACGTCGTCGGGTCCTAGAAGTGGCTTCATGGATGGGCCCAGGAGGACGTCGTCGGGTCCTAGAAGTGGGAGTCAGCACGAGCTCGATCGGACACGAGACGTACCCAGGTTCAGGGCTCTTCGAAGAGATAACACCCCTAGTCCTGCTCTGCAGGGTCTCCACATGATGACTATGATCAATATGAGTACAAGGTTGCTCCTTGAGCTGTGTTGCTAGAGGAGGAAGAAGGGCAGGCTAGCTCTCTTCACCTAGCTATGGTGTGTGGGCTGAACTAAGGTGAACCCTTTGCATGGGTGAGCCTTGGGGGGTTTTATAGGCCAACCACCCAGGGGTACAATGGTAATACGACCGGGTGTAGGACCCGGGTGTCAGTGTCTAGGGTCACCGGGTTCTCCGCCGACTATTGGGGCCCGCCTCTGGAGGGTCCCGCCGGCTGCCGAGAATCCGGCCGACAGGTAGGGCCCGCCGCCTGCGGGCCCCTCTGATTGCTTTTTGTTGTAGCACCATTTGTGCTGACGAGGGCGGCGTCAGGAGACGTATGGCTATAGTGCTCCGTCAGGTGGGTTGGTGGCCGTCTGGTCAGCGCCCACTGTAGCCATACCCCGCCGGGATTCGAGGGGAGCAGGTGGCACTGTTGCCATAATCCGTCTTGTCGTAGTGGTTGAGTGCAGACTCCGAGGGAAGTGACGGACCGCCTGCTGGAGGCCGGCCTATGCCCTAGCCGCCTTCTTGGAGCACACCGTCTTTTGGAGGCCGGCCGCGTGGCACCAGGCAGCTCTGGAAGCCGGCCGTGCGACCATTCTGCACGAGGGGCTTAGCTAGCCCCGATGTCTTG